ATATATATATATCTATATATATAGATCTATATATATAGATATATATATATGCTCATCTTTTTCTGACATAAGTTCAAATGCAGGGTTTACTCTTTCAGGTGTCAAACTGATTGCTGCTAAAAACAGATTCTAAATTGAATAACTTTCTAATGTAAAGTTCTGTACAGAACAAAACGAGATGTGTTTTTGTTGTGATGTGATCGGGGGCGTGATCCTGCTGGGTGAGCGGGTTCATGAGTCGAGTCAGAACAAGATGATAAGCAGCATCAGCAGTTCCAGGATGAGGCAGAGAGGGCTGTGCCTCAGTGTCAGCCCCAGTCCCAGTGGTCTGCCTACAGGAGCACAATGAAAACAGTACAAATATAATTAATGCTAAATGTGATAAACTCTTTCTAAAAAGCTGGATGCTGTCTAAGCCACAAGAAAGGTTAATTGAACATATTCTAACTGAAACAGTGCTGGTTTATTGATACGTTTATTGATTGATTACTAGAAATTCATAGGACTTGACTTTGTGTTTACTTTTGAGAACGACTGGCCTGTCCTCCCAGGGAGTCAGAACCATGGCTAGAGCTGTCCTCTGAACGTCTCTCAGAGCTGAGAGCTGCTGTGGAGTCACTGCAACTGCCTGCTCATAGGAGAACATGCTGATCTGGCTCTGGTGAAATGCTGCCTGGAAAAAACAAACCAAACACAGTAGAGAGCATCAAACAGGGAAGTAGTAGACGACAAAATGAAGCTCTAAAGCAAGAACTATAGAAAAAAAAAAAAACATATTTGGAAGCTTGTGACAAAGATAAAACACATGGTTGACTTACGGCAAACTTTTCAGGAGGTATAATGGAGATAGCCAGGGGCGTGATACCTTGAATTTGTTCTTTCACAAGAGCTGACATGGCAATATCAGGAAGACCAGCTACAAACAGGTTCAAAGACAACAAAGCAGACTGAGTAGATATCAGTTTAGCTCCTATGTGTTTCAGTTGCTTTTGATTGATACCAAGTTAGGCTCTTCTTTATCACTTTGATAAAAAAAAAAGCTGTAAATATTTACAAGGGCTGTTATCAGAATCAAATGTACTTTATTGATCCCTTGCGGGAAATTCTTCTCTTGCAATGCACCCGTTTACAGAGGAGAGAAAAATTAGATTGTAAGTACAATAAAGAACAATTAAATATAATATAATAAGACATAAGAAAATAAGTAAAATTAGTAAAATTACAACCCACGCAGTAAAATTGCACCCTTCCCATACATACAGTTTAAAATAAGATGTAACAATAAAATAAGTATTTTAGAGAAACAAGCTGACTTTAGTTTAGATTTGAGAAGTATTAATGAAAGCTGACATGTTAAAGGCCAAAACATAAATGGTTAGCAAAATAAAAAGTTAACTGGCAAGCCCTGCAAAGAATCACAAGGGAATCTGAAACGGCAGGTCTAAAATGCTGAACTACCATTAAAATTACTTTAAGTCAACTTAAATTAATGTTATTTTGGTATATTTTATTATTTAGGTAAATTTTTTCTTAGTTTCTAAATATTGTTTTATCAAAGTGTGAAACAATGTAAGAAACAATGTTTTATTCCTCGATCTGAATTACCTTTATATATAAATGACACAAAATCAACTTATTGGAAGATTAAATGCATCAAAATTGCACTCCCAAATCCAGATGCATTACCTGCCAGGACTCCTATTTCAATAAACACATCTGTGCCCCATGAATCCATGGGTCCAAAAGCAAGATTGTTGGTGAGCAGCTCAACCAGAGCAAGCATCTGGTCCTCTGAGCAGGACAGCCTCAGCTGCCCCAGCCAGAGAACTGCCTTACTGCAGCCAGCAGGGGGAGACAGAACACAAGATAGTAAATAAAAATGGCAGGCTGAGCTGAGAGAAAGGCAGGTCATTCAGAGTGGAAACTGAGCCCACCTTAACTCCACATTGTTAAAAGTCTTGATCTCTGTGGTTTTAGCTCCGCACACAATGTGTCCGAGCGCCACCAGCATGCTGGAGTCAAGCTGACTCGGTGTCCGCTTGGTGGAGTTCAACACTCTAGTAAACAGTGTAGTCAGCTGGAAAGATAAACAATACAAAATCATTAAATTGTACTCATAGGCATTTGTTAATTTTAATCACCCAGGATCTTTACCTTTAAAGTTGCTGTTGTGGATAAAATATTTTAAAACTAGGAATATTACCATGAAACAAGATGTTACCTGTCTGTTGTTCCAGGTGCTGATGGCTCCCATAGCAGCAATACTCCTTCGTTCTTCCAGTTGAAGAGCACTCAGCTCTTCTGGTGACATCTCTAATGCTATTCCACCCAGCTGAGCAATTAGAGACTGGGAGAAGGAGGAGATAGGGCCATATATCTTCACACATGACCATCATAGGAAGGTGACCCAGAAGAAGACATACAGTGTTAAAACCTGACAAGTTCTATATGCTACCTCCCCCCTGAAGTACTGTTGGAGGTCTATGTTGATTTTTCACCTTTTTTACTCTGCTGAGAACCTCTGCACGCTGGTAGGATTGAAGGAAGGGGTCTTGCCCCATTAGCTCCAGACAGTTGGAGAAGGCAGATGAAGACATCCTGCCAAGGCTGCTTGAAGTCCAGGCAGACGGGGCTGTGGTACGCAGGATTTCACAGGTCGGAACAATCTGAGGAACTAAGAAAGAATGCAGGAAAAAAAAAAAAAAAAAAACGGATCAGAAGAGGCAGTATTAAGATTCATAAATAGGCTGCTGTCTCATTGTTTATAATAATCTACCAACCAACCAATAACAAGAAATAAATCAACCAAAGGGTACCTTTAGCACATTACAGTAATTCAGTTGATTATTACTGTGCTTTAATTCTCTAGATTATAATATTCTAGACCAAACCTATTGCCTGTTCTCCATGCAAAGAGTTGAATTACTTTGCTAAATTAACTGTCTCTATAAACCTTTAATTATTAGTTTTCCTTACATACATATACAGAACCAGAACAAAGATGTTAAGAATAAAATCCCAGATTATTTCCGCCTCTGAAGCAGCACATATCATGTATAATCTAAAACAAGAATTATTTAATGAGCATTTTCCATTAATGAGTTCAACCTTATATATATATATATATACCGTATATATATATATATATATATATATATATAATTGTTGAAGCACCTTTTTTTTAGTCTTAATTAGATTCTTTGAGGATTGCAGAGCCTGACGTAGCTTTGTTTGCCAATGTTTCTAAAAAATAAATACATAAATTGAAATCTAAATCTATCAGATTGTGAGGATATCCCTATTTTGAAGCCCTAAACCTACAGACTGGTTTCATCAGATAAAAGTCCAGACTCTGGATAAGCTGCTCCAGAATATTCACCTTCTCGAGTGAAGATCTTTTTTTTTTTTCTGACTTGTTTATTTGACTTTAGGAAATCATTTTCTGTTCAGCGTTAAATTTATAGTGGACAACAGACATCCTGACTGCATGATATTTAAGTGTTCATTTTTTCATCCATATAAGACAGTTAGCCCTGGAGCAGGATGCTGCCACTGACATGTTCAACACTGGAAATGGTATTTATCAGGATTACAGAGTAGCATAAGCATTCTAGTTTGGTTTCAAGGTCCATAACTCATTCTGTCACAAGATGGCAGAAGGTTTTTGCCTAACCATGATCTTTGGAAGAAAAAATCTTTAGATTTGCAGTCCTGCTCCTTGGTCCATGTATAGAGAGAATACAATCAGTACTATCAGAAGATTTCAGTAATCATTCTGTATTCACTACATTTTGAGTCTTTGTAAGTTCTCTGCTGAGGATAGCTTTAGATGAATAAAAGATGCAAAGGAGAATCAGCATCAATACAACTAGCACTAAATATGAACTCAGCCAGATGTATTACTTAAGTTATGTCAAAAGTTACTTTAACAAAGTTATAAGGATATGCTACAAGTTTATTTCAAAACTTTTCAGAATTTGACTCTTATGGTCATTACTTGTTTTGCAGTGGATTTGCACAGTTTAGAAACCATTTAGACTACAAAACGTCTTACATCAGTGACCTTTTGGTCACCTTTACAAAAGTAACGGAATCATTTGATAAATTACAGGAACCAAAACGATGCTCACGTGAGAAAGAATTTATTTTCAGGAATCCCAGGTAAGTCTGCAGAACAAACTGCTGTTTTTGAGAAAGTTCGTTCCTCTCGTTCATGTCTGAGCAGAGGATCCCCACTTCCCCCTCCTCCCACTGACGGTGGCTCATGAACAGCCTCTCTATGCGCCCCACCGTCATCAACGGCTGAGGGAAAACAAATGAAGAAGAAAAAATGTTGGCACCTTACAGAAAAACAGGAACTTTACCACCTGATCCTGCAACTCACTGGAAAACTGACACCTGAAGGATGTCTTTACAGCCTTTGTACGTCTGACCTACACTGAGGTCGGGTTCCTATCACTATAAACCCGCCCCAAAGGGAATGTTACCGTAATAATCACTCACAGAAACAGCCATATCTGTTTGCCTATTGCAGGGATACATTAAGATGAATTCAAAGAGAACTCACCGATGAAATCTCCTGTAGTATGTTCGAAGGCAGGAAAAAGAGAAACCGTCCCACCGCACTGAGAGTTGCCTTGTTCCAGTTTTTCACTGGCCTGGAAGCAAATACGCAAACACTTCATGATTACTGTTCTACAAACACTTTTAATCTTTTTTTTTTTTTTTTTTTTTTTTTTTTTTTTTTTTTACCTGAAACCTTGTCAATATGAAAATTAGGATTTCTGTCAAATCATTATACTTTTCATCTATACTCTAAATGTTTTTGTTGATTTTGATTTTGTTTTGTTTTTTTAGTGGGACAGGAAAATTTGTATTTAGAGCAGTCAGAAAATCATAATAAAATGTAAACTTAAAAAAAAAAAAATAAAAAATAAAAATAACATTTCACCTGGGTTGGACAGGGTTAGGAAAGAAAAAACTTAAAAGAAATGTTTCATTTATTGTATTAGTCAATTCTTCACTCAAAAAAATGCTAAAAGCAAAAAAGCTTTCAGAGTAAGTATCACTAAGTATCACACATGTGTGTCATTGTGAATAAACTGAATTTAAACATAATTACATAGCATTTGATAACAAATACCGCTTTTTTAGGAATTTCAATGCTTGGAAGGTTTGTAGACCAAAGATAAAAGATAATTATTTTTTTAGACCATCCTTTCATTGAAAGGTATATTTTCCGAAGAATTCAATGAACCTAAAAAAAATGAATGAAAGAAAGAAAAAAACCAACGTAGTTAAATATTTTTTCAATGACTGTATATTTGCTCCTACATGATTAGGGAGAATATTAAGTTCTGGTTTACTAAGTTTATAAAGACATTAAAGTCAGCTACTGAGGAAAAAATCTTTAAATAATGGATAAGAACAACAACAACAAAAAAGTTTTTTTTAAATAAACAAGAGGTTTTGTTTGTCAGTATCATATTTAGTTAATAAACTTGAAAACACATTTAAATATGAATGAAGAATTATTACTTTTCACAGACATCTGTAGAAGAGAAATTAAAACAGGGACTGCTAATTTAGGAATTAAACATCTGATTATTATGTTAAATTCCTCAAAGTAAATCTAATAGAATTAAATTTTACCTTTTCCCTCAGGTAAAAT